AATTCAATCGAGTGGATTAAAATACCACCATAGTAGACCCTCCCTTTTATGTTTACCAAACCCTTCTTATATACATATTTTAACGATAAATGCAGCTGTGAGCCCTTTGAAAACAACACCCACTTTTAGAACATTTATTCCTTGCATAACAAATGAACATCGCTCTCGTGCAGCGTTATATTAATATATTGTAGAAAATTAAACAGCAATAATGGCGGAATAATTTATTGATTCTGGAGATATTAGTTCTAATATAGATGCAAAAGGCGGCGATTAATATTTTTTTAATTACAGGTAATGAGACGAGGTTGCTTTCTTATAACTTATGGGAACAACTTTGAAAATTAATCAGAAAACCTGACGTTTAATTATGGGAACTAATTGAATTTGAAACAGAGCATGAGTATAATTATGTTGGTTAATATCTACATAATTATTCAATATAAGGTATATAACATTATTTAAGAAGACTTACAAACTAATTTATAATGTAGATACGGTTATGGGTTTATGGAGGATCTCTTGCAATATATTTGAATTAGGTAATGGTTCGCATAAAAGTTATTTATCTGCGTCTAGATTCGCCGTTAGTGTAAACAAATTATAAATAGATCCCCATTTATTATACTTATACGGAAAATAAAATGACACTTTTTCGTTTGTTTAGCTTATTATCCTCAATAACAATATTCAAGGGATGCACGATCAATTGAATGGAATGAAATCTGACAATGCAGTCGGTACGCATGATGCATTTGGGTTGTGATTGATGGATTTGGAATGACGTTGTAGCTTCCGAAAGGCACGCAATTTTTGCTTATTGCATTAATAATATCTACAGGAAAAACATAGACACGAAGCGCCAGTACACTATATACAGGGTGATTCTAGTTTACGAATCGTTCTGCCGCTTCGAAAGATACTACAACTTGTGACGTGTCCATTATATAAAGTATAACAAGTAGGGGAATTAATTGACGCTCACCTTGGATTCGGAAATACGATTCAATGGCACTGATCCTTGAACTCGTAGAAATCGATTGGCCAAGGTTGGTACTAAGTATTTGTAAATTTAATTGGATAATTATACTCAATCCTAATGCTAGGTAGGTATGTTATCAATTTTAGGAAAATATAAAAACTGCATGGGTCACTACTCAGATGCGGAGCCTATTACTGATAGTTCAGAAATAGTGGATTTTAGAGAAAAAGAACCAGATTTCTGACAATTCCCAACATATATCCCAACTATGAAATGAATTCAAAGAAGTATAATATGTTATAACTGCAAAAAAATGCCTCCTTAAACATTCTATTTTTCTTCAGTTAAAATCTTTTTATTGAATTATACAGGGTTTCGCAAAAGTCTCAGGATGGAGTTTCAAACGAGTCAAGAAAAAATCTGACAATTTGGGGATTAATACAAGGTAGTAAAACTACAATTTAGATGGTTTAAAACGTTTTTAACTGGGGAGTTTTTTTTCCAGAATTGGTTATTTACATACAATTGTAAGTAAAAAATATCTAGAAGAAGAAGGAACTGTTGTGTAGCAACTTTCGAACCTAATTTTGGTGATAAAATAATTCCATTTGAAAAACTAATTGAATATTTTATTTAATTTTTAAACTATTCAAGTTAAGGGCAAATTTGGATTTATCTGATGGGAGAGGTAAGGGCTTCTGTAGGAAGTGGTATTGAGCAAGAGTGTGAAAACGGAATAATTAAAAAATGTTGATTATTCCCTAAAAACTATCCACCCATTTCTAAACATGTGCGGAATTCAGATCAATTTTACATATGATGCCGGTTTTTTATGAAATTACATCGACCTTGGGAAGAGGTGTATTACCAGACAAACCTGGTTAATATGTGTACCTATTGTGTAATTGGATTATATAATTAATAAATTCATATATTATACAATTATACATACACAAAGTCCAATACAGTTACAATATACAAATAATACAATAAACAATTAAATAGTCAAAATCCAAAGAGAAAATTGATACCACTATATTAATTAACGGCTCATATATTACTATTGAACCAGAAATTGCAAACCAAGTTATTATATACTGTAGTATAAACAACGTCTAGGGTCTAAATATGAGGGACACCCTGTGTATGAGAGTATTTCAATTTATTAAGTAAATCTGACGAAATAAGCACAGAGTTAGTTCGTTTCATTTGAATTTGTATTTCAGTGTTGTTTTCCTTTTAGAAATGTTGTAAATGCACTTTTGTAATTTATTCAATTCAGTGTTCGTCGTCTTGGTCGTTTGCAATAAGGAGTTTTATCAGGCGACAATTAATTAACTCACATATTCTGGTGCTGATAAAGATATGCAGATTTGACAAAGTATTGCGCGTTTCATTTGGAGAATTTGTCGTGGTCCGTTATGATAGGCGATTTATTTGAAAATTCATAAACAAGGAGTTTATGGTAGAAGTTGTGTTTCCTTCAATACTGGAAACAACGAGGGCTGCTAGTTTCGCGACTGTTAAATATCGTGTACATTTGTTGACGCGTACTTCGCGAGTTTGTAAATAAAGTTTTAAGAAATCTTAATTAAAAGTTATTGTATCGTCAAGTTAAAAACCTTGTAGGACTAGATTACTAGATTATTAAAAAAAATTTATTACTTTATTTGTCGCCCACCTGCGTACGGTGTAATATGTCCAAACAAGCTTTGTAAGCTTTTCTTTTTTAGCGCATTTTTGCAAATTTATTTGTAAAAAGTAGCTTTTAATCTCACTTTGGCTGGCTGGCTGGTCGGCTGGCTGGCTGGCTGGCTGGTCGGCTGGCTGGCAGTAAATGTGGGCGCGTAGAAGAACTCTTGTAGAAAGGCAACGGGTTTACTTGTATCTACAAGGCCGTGTAATTTGTAAACCTTGGAGACAGGGCTACATGACGTGGGATTGGCGACATCTGGGCGTCGTCCTCGAGCGTAGTATACTAACGTGAAGGATTTTCAGTTTTTTCCTATCTTCTACTACAGTTTTGGTCCGATTCTTTTCAAATTGGTGTCGTTGGAAAGATGTTGTAAACGCGCACAACTCCTGCGTGGCGGAATTTTGTTTTTTGGCCTAGGGGCGAAATTAACGACCTTTTGCAAGGCGCGCGCGCGTCTTCGAAAGGTAGTCAACTTCGGGCACCTTTTACCTTCCGTTGCGAATTCTGTGTAACGTTTCGTAAATCTCGAATGGCTGTCTCTTTCTCGTGTCGCCAATAGAAGCTCGAGCAATGAGAAGTGCCCCCCAAAAATTAAGTACTATCTTGTGGAAGGTTTTTAGCGAGATCCACCATGGGTGTAATATAAGTATGCAACGAAAAAGGAAATGTGGTAGCCTCCGACAAGATCTAACTGATGGTGGAGAAAAATCTTCAAACGCGAATTGCGGGTGAACGGGACGTCGGAAGGGGGTACCGTCAAAGGGAATGTGGTAGCCCCCAACACGATCTCACTGATGGTGGAGTTAAATCTTCAAACGCGAATTGCAGGTGAATGGGACATCGGAAGTGGGTACCTTCAAAGGGAATGTGGTATCCTTCGACAAGAACTTTTATTCATGGTCGAGTCAAAAGTGGCTAACAGAATACTGATCTGCCACACAAAAATGCGCTGAAGTCCCTTCGATCTCACACGAGGACTTTGATAGCCAGTACCGCCTACCCCATTTTCGCTTGATATATCTAGTGCCTACCACTTACCGCATACCCCTCGCCGCCAATCGCTCGTATCGTAACCGAGACTTAACTATACATAGGCTCATTTCAATATAATCTATAATGACGTAAACCTTTTTATAAGATTACTGAGCATCTCAAGCCGAAATAGCTCAGTTGGGAGAGCGTTAGACTGAAGATCTAAAGGTCCCCGGTTCAATCCCGGGTTTCGGCAGATAAATTTTGCACATAAAAAGGTCGACGTGTATATCACGAGCAGCATTGGTTCCATTGGCGATAGGAATGAATTATGTAACTTGATATAAATAAATCCGTTTCATCAACCTAATTCTTTTATCACTAATTATGTTTCTTTTTTGCATGCAAATTTACTAAATCGTTCATCTAACCTTTTGCCCGTAGATAATGAAAGTTTTTGTTTGTATTAGATCTTTGTTGAACACCTACGGTCTGTAGGAGATAAACCAAAGACAAAGCCAACAAGGTTTGTTTTCCAAAGGATCTCATCAACAAAAATCCTGAATTATTGATCTAGGGCAGTCGTCTACGGATACTACGCCCAACGCTGTTTTACTGTCTTCAATTTGATCTGTTCTATATCGTTGGCACTCAACAGTTTTCTAGGTCTTCGATATCGTACGAACCAGCCGGTTGTCACCATTTAACCATCAGATTTTAGTTTAGTTCTTGATTCCGTCTTTTTACTGAAAATTAGTAGAACCTTTGCGCCACATTCCTGATTTTTACCGGGGAATTGGGGTTTAGACAAATGAGAGGCCAAACGGGTTCGTTGTTATAGTATACGGCAGCACATTCAACCCTTTTGCAGTACTTACCACGAACATAGTTGACCCTATTTTATATCATACACTGATCAAAATGTCTACTTTTTTTCCACCCATTACTGTGAAGTCTTGGGGTTAAATGCTGCGTCATACTTATTGATGCGACCAGCCTTGCAGACATATTTCCTGTGGGATGCTATAAGAGAAAAACTGAAAAGTGCCAAAATGTGGAGTTCTTTGGCCGCCATATCTAAAGCCTCGTCTAAAGCTCTATCCAGAATCCTTATTTGAGGCGTCCAAACAGGATTAAAAAGGTTTCCGGGTTTTTACGATGTTTCGAGAAGCATGGCTTTTTGTGGACTAATTTTCCTGGGCTGTCCGTATTTGGTCTGAACAGAATTTTTCCTCTGAATATTCCGTGGATCTCTCGTCTTCCAGGGTTTTAAATAGTATTCGTTCATACAAATTTGTAAAAACAATCTACACTGCTGTCAATCTGTCATGTATAAATGACATTGGCATAATGAATGAAGCAGGTGATACCCTCGTTTCGAACGACGTTTCTAAACCCCGAGATGCCTGTGTTGTACTTAACATCGAGGAAAATCCCAGTGTGGAATGCCGAAAGGAGCCTTTCCATCTTCCTAGCAAAGAAAAACTTCGCACCCAACAAGGAAACCGGTATGGAAATCCCTACAATCAAGGTGCGGGTTTCGGACAAACGCCATATTATCAACAACAACTGGTTGGAGGACAACCTGTATATGTGCAAGTAATGTATGCAAAACTTAATATTTTGCCCCAATACAGTTTTTAGGTTCCAGGAGCACAGAATGTTGCAACAGCCGGATATAGATATAGATTTCAAGACGGCGGCGAACAAGGCGGATTTACCCGCGATGAGCACGTATTTATGAGATCTTTTGACAACCAAGTGATCAGAAGTAGATTTATACAACGTGTTTATACAATATTAGCCGTTCAATTACTTTACACTTTTGCTGTTGTGTTTTTGTGCATGTTTGTGTAAGTATTTTAAAACAAACACCTCCTTTTATTACATTAATCAATTACAGTCCAGAAGTTAATGAATACGTACGAAGCACCTCATTTTTAGTTATAATTGCAGGGTAAGTATTTATCCATAGTTATCCATAACTGCCCCTCGCACCGTCAGTCAGTATACCGCTCCTAGTTTCGTTCTGGACAAATTTAAATGATCTTCTGGTACCCAAATTTGAATTCATTTAAATTTTAAGCCAATTTATACCAAACTATGACGAACCGCAAAAGATTTTTGCTTCAAATGCATAATGAACTTTATACTCGTAGTACCTAAGTCATATTTACTTGCTTAAAATTTAGGCAACGTTACTGTTTGCCATATTGTTACCAAACATTATTTAATACTCAGCGACTGAATCGGCAAGGACATTGAATAAATTTTTTATTCAATGGCAAGGATGAAATGCCGGAGTTAACTTATTCCAGGTTAATGATTGTATGGTTTCTTCCAGCGTTGTGTACCTAGTGGTCTATTTAATTTTAATATGTGTCAAGAGTGCTAGACGACAATATCCACTCAATTTCGTCCTACTGGCAATTTTTGTAAGTAATTGAGCCGCCCTTTCTATTAACAAACATTAATTTTTAGACAATATCGTTTTCCTACTGCGTGGCCTATATGTCGGTATTTTATAAAACACACATAGTACTGATGAGTATCGGTATGACAGCAGTTATAACACTGGTTGTGTCAGTCCTGGCATGCCAAACTTCGGTACCTATTACCTTTAACTGATCTATTTAATATATTTTGTAATGAACCATTTAAACGAACTACCTAATTTCAGTTCGATTTTACTGATTGCGCGCCCCTGCTATGTTTTATTACCCTAGTGTCATTAGTGTGTGGTAGCGTACTCCTGCTCATTGCTGCCTTGACGCACACACCAGTTCTTTATGCCGTTTACTCGGCCATAATAGGATTCCTGTTTGTAATGGTAAATATTGAACTATCCATTGCGTAATATTTTATGCTAATTTTTAGTACCTTGCATATGACACGCAGTTGATCATGGGAGGAAGGCACGTTGAATTATCTCCAGAAGAGTATATCCATGGTGCACTCACTCTGTACATTGATATAATCGAAATCCTAATCCACGTAATGCAAATATTAGATAGGTGTAGTTAGATTTACAGTCGAAAAATAGAAAGTGAATTATGTAGGCGTTTTGTGTGTAGTACAAAGCACTGCAAATAAAAAATCGGAAATAAATGGGTTTCGGATTGCGATTTAGGTAATTAAATTAAAACATGACAACCTAAAAAGAAACGTGTTAACGAATTAAGGAATCCTATGAAGATAACTTCATCTCGAAACAATCGTATCACTTCACGTAAATACGCTTAGAAAAATAATTTAGACAATTTTAGCTTGATGACTCGGGAATTTCTACGACAAAAGTGATACTTTCTCAATCCCAATAGTACCAACTACTACTAACACACTAAGAGCGCATTTGTCAGCGATCTTGAACACATGGGAGGACAGTATTAACAAGCTTTAACTAAGTTTTTAGGTGTTGCCTCTGTGATTTTGCCAAACATTCTACTCTAAGTTGGCCCACTCTATAATTTTTATATAAAATGCTCAAGACAAATGGAAAGAAGGACATTTCGAATCGTTGTCCCATACTTTGCACTAAAACATTATTTAAAAATATGATGGCGGAGTTCAGTTACTTATACCTCTTACACACTTCAATGAATGTTTTGAATGGGTATGTGTAGGTACTTTTTCCGCCTCCGATTTCTGTCTCACTTAAGTGAGAGTAATGCGATTTCTCTTAAGACGTTGAGTGTGTTAGTTGTCGTAATTAACTTTGAGTTTGATTTGATCGTGTAAGTTCTCGACGATCTAATTAGTGAGCGGAATTGGAAACATCAATACCATACCTCGGCGCGTCTCTTAAAATTTGTTTGCGCTCGGGGTTTTTATTCAAACGCGAAGGGTTACTATTTTATAAATAATGGAGGAGGTTTATTCAGAGTAGCGAGGTACGTATGTAGTTTCGTGGCGTTGCAAAGAAATTAAATTAGCATTGGTAGTGAAAAGGAAATAAATTTCATTGTAACGCAAATAAAACGAAAATTGCGAACGAAAATCTATTTCGAGTTGCAGTTGTTTTGGCTGTCGTCCTCTGTAATACATCGTGCTTCGGGGATTACATCAGTATTCCCTCCAATAATGCTAATTATATCAAGCAATATAATCTAATATCAGGCACCATCAATCAGAATCAAATACTGTATATTACTCGACACGAGTGTGTGGTTTCTATAAACATAATTACGTTAGCTGCTACTGTCGCACTTTTTCAATTGCGGTTTCGGAGGCATTGTTGGGGTTAGTTTATTTGATTAAGTCCTTACACGATATGTTTGCCAACGTGTGTCTATATGTTGGTATTAACAATTACGTTATAAAGAAACCTCAAAGGCTTTTTGGGTATTTGTTTGAGATTCGGCCTCACTACGAAATTCCACAAAAGCGGGAGAATTTCAGATTCCTATCATATTAACGGCGTACACTGCACAGACGTGTTTCACGTTCGTTTTAATAAATTAAATTAGCTAAAAACATTTTCTCGTATTTATCTAACTTGCCGGAGAATTATTTTGGCACTTTTTGCCGAAAATGAAATAAGCGTAGCGTTGCCTGCGAGTTTCTGGGCGTATACGTCGTTCCGCTCATAAAAAGATTACCTCATTTGTAAAGCTCGTTCTCTATTCGGTATTGTCGACGTACTAGAAAACTAATTTAAGATTTTCAAGTGCCCCTATCTCTACATTCCCAACCACTTTAAATACTAAACTGGCGTAAGATCGTTATACTGGGAAACGTTCCATTATGAAGTCCAGAGATACTTGGATTATATCGGACTGCGAATAACGATCAGAATGTAATAATAATCTGCGGACAAGCTTCCAATACAACAGGGGTTACAATGGCTTTGTTTTAACACAATGGAATTTGAAAGCATTCATTTATATGACAAGTTTATTACTTACCGCGGTGGAAAAGCGTAATTAATATGTTACCGTCCCTAAAAATTATTCGCTTTCTGCCGTCTGAATTATAGAATCGTGCTTAGAAATTTTACATTATTTAACGTGGACCCCTTTTTAAGTTCGCCACCCTTATAAGAAACAATGGTTAGAGGATTACCTACATTGTTTCTTGCTTACCTAAAGCATAAATATATTACAGAGCAGTATGTAATTGTCGTGCTTAGCTATTCGCTAAAGCCTTGCTACTATTGTTTGCCATTGTTTTAAATTGTCGTTAGTTCTTTGATGCTAACGCTAACAGATGTTGTTTAATTTATTATCCTTGTAATTAACTAAGAGGCGCTCTTTGAAGTACTTCAAAGATCTTCTATATTTCGGATACGTGATAAAATGCTTTCTTTTTTAAGTACCTGTTCATAACCAAATTTTTGTCTGCAGCAAAACGTTACGCTGAGATATTTTTCGTTTGACAAGTAATGCGTCAGTGCCATATCTGAAGAACACCTTACGATGAGTTGTCTGTTACTAATACTTAACAGCAATATATTGTGTAAACTACGCCATGCGGGCGTTTTATTTGGTATCAGCAAAATAATGATGGGTCATCCCCGTTCATTTATTTTTAAGCGTAAATGCGGTCCTTAATTTGCGATTAAACACAATCGATCACCATCGTTCAATTTGAAGCCAATGTGACTTTGTCGAGGAATTATTATTAATGTTGTTTATTTTGTTTAAATAATCATTTGTACGAGTATTTACTTAAATGTAAAGAAAAAACGTGTTAAATGAGTAAGTCCACTCTTTTGAAAAAGTGTTATCTCCGGTCGTTGTGATAGGAAGTTTCGGTATCACTGCGTGGGGTAATTACTTTACAGGTAAGCACGCGTTATTGTCCAAGTAGACAAATGTGAGTTTTTTTTCTTGGACAAAGCAATAGTTTGATAAGAAGGAGGAGATAGTTCGGAAGGGAAGGGGTGGCTTTTTTGCGCTTGACGTTAATCGTTGTTTTTTTGTGGACGATAGTTTTTGTGCTTTTTGTCTGTTGAAAATTGCAATCACAACCGGATATTTTGGATTATTAACACGTTAAGAAAATTAAAATTTCGTTAATTAATCGTTGCAATCTATCGCTTGTTGCGTGGTATGTGTATTTTGGTTCTGAGTCCTTCAGTTTTATTTAATTTATTTTGTCTAATACATTTTTATCTATAACTGTTTTATGTTGTGTTTTATCTAGCCCAAATTAGGACCAAGGGTATAAAAGCTCTCCTGCTAAATTTTTCGGTTGGTAGGCAGGGTTCTACCAGGTGTTTGTAACATAACTCTAATAAAATTAAAGTCTTATTGGGATTTTTTGTTTTTTTGCGGATTCTGGACGTGCTCTGGAAAACTTATAATCATTTCGTCTATAAGATTTTGTTAGTACCTGTGATTAATTGAGCTTGCTGTGCAAGGTGCCTCTGTGTCTCTTGTTGTGCTTAGTTTAGTAACCGGTTGCCCTTGCACATGTATCACTGTACTTTGAATTGAACCTTTTGAACAGCTCCCTTTCTTTCTTCTTTTTCCTATTTATCCAAACGCCACTTCTACTAAATCATCACATTGCTCCTTCCGCTAAATCAGATGCAATACCAATTAGTGGCGTTTGAAGTGCCCCCTCTTACTTTAAAATTAATGCGTAAAATACTTCTCATCGCAAAATGACCAGATAGCACTTAAATGCACCAAATGTTCTTGAATTCTAAATAACGCAATTTTTACATCTTGTAATTTAAACAAAAAAAACTTACACGACTGATAAAATTGAAACAAGAAATTAAACAATTAAAAAAAATTCTAATATGGCAAACAGACACTAAAATAACAAATCCTGATGATGAAATTCTGTGAGTATTTTAATGAATTCGCCCAGATTCAAATTCCAGGTCCAAGTCTGGAGCGAAACGGCGTACGGGGCGAAACGGCGGTGGACAATGATGGGGACGAAACGTCCCGATTTCACCTTTATCGGTACTCTGTTACTTTTTTAGCGTCGAGTTGTTTAGCGGGCCGCTTATGCTTTCTCCCAATCTTGCGATCGCTCGCTCGCTCAGTGGCTCCATTCCCGTCGATTTAAGAGAGAACGGATGGACCGATTACGATTAAAATTTTCAGGTGGATTCTTTATCCAATTTGTCAATTTGTCAAATTTCCAATATAAGTAAAAAAAATAAGAAAGGCCCTTTTGACATCTCCGTTAGTTTGAACCGGATTGCATGAAATTCAAACTGGAAATAGCTTTAGTAATATAATATGCAATGCAAAAACTTTAGTCTAATCGATTCAACATTCACAGTGCCTGTTTACCATATCAATTGTAATGTCACCGCTTTGGTACTTTTGATTATGTATCGTCAGGGTGGCATGTTTTAGTGTTAGCATATTCAAATGTTTGTATCCAAGCACAAATTTCGCCAGGGTACGAGCCACCTCTAACAACTCGACGCCTTCGGTTCTCAAGATGTCTGCAATAAAAGGGTAATGAGAGAGAGCTTCCGGGCTTTTTTTCTTTTCTTTATGACTTCGTCCACCTCAGAGGTAAATAAACTTGTAACAAATATATCAAATGAGCTCCTGGGTGACTGAAGGAACTTAATCAATTCTTCCTGTGGCGATGATAAACATAATACTGAAAACAGAATTGGAAAATTCGAAACCGTTCGCGAGTTCATGTACACAGACGGACAGACGGACAGAATGTCCAGAATCATGAACTCGCTTTAGGAGCTTGTTATAATAAAAGGAAGATCGCCGATTATTATTTATTTGTGATAGTTTCATTTTCGGGTAGATTGCCGAAACAAAGCTAGACCAAATAGAACTAGTCGAGACGAGACGAGAGTAAATCAGATAGATACGAGACTTGATCTCGTCTCGCAACAATCATAATCTGCATAAATGCATCTCACACTTTTTTCTTTCTCTTCTCATTTACACATCTGAAATTCTCTATTATGTTTATATATTTTCCTCCTTTCCTTGGACGTTTCAGCACCCAGACATTTATTTCCTTTTGTTTGCCTGTGGGCTCTATGACTCCTTTTTAATCAATTCTTCTCGATGATTCTGAAAACAGAA